TTATATTATACATTTAACTCTCATACTCATAATTGGCAAATTTGACATATAAAAAATGTCATTCCCCAAATGTATTTTATATCGCCATCCATTGTTATGTTAGCAATATTTATTTTTCTCAGTTGTAAAATATTTATAAGAGTGTTAAAAAGAATGTTTTACCAGTACCACCAAGGCCATCAATGAAAATGTATCGATTATGCTTAGTTGGATGATCAATAACATTAAAAATATCATTAAAAATATTTAACTATTCTTGATTAAATTGAGGAATATTTTGTTCAACATTTTGATATATTTGTGTTGAGTTGACAATATTTTCATCATCAAAATTTTCAAATGGGAAAGATACGTGGTAGTTTTGATTAGTTTTGCCATGCATTCTCATTTTAATTTTTGTATCATGTAAAACATTTTCATAATGAAAAAATTGAATTTTTTTGCATGAAATCTTCATAGAGGAAGTCTTTAAATTTATCCCATAAGAAGTAAGGATCTTTTGGAGTGCAAAAGATATAAAGTAATACAAATAATTATTTTAATTGTGATGACATTTTAAAAGAGTAAGTATTTTTTAAACATTTTTCCCATTCAATATCATCACCTATAAACCCCATTGCATCTGCAACTTGTTGAAATGTGTCATAATAAATATTATTAACTGTCTTGAGATCTTTGAAAGATGGACATAGAACATAAATTGTTTCAAGTTTTGTAAAAATGAATAAATTATGGTGATTATTTAAAAATTTATCTTTGATAAAAAGTATGCAGCTTACTAAAAATGATGGTTGAATGGCTTCTCAAAGTCAGAAATGGTGAAAATTTTCAAAATCTACCATCTTTACCTTCTAACTTTGTTTTATTACCTTATATACAACTAATTTATTTATTTATTATTAATTTGGTCTACCCTTCAGTACTTGATATTTCAAACCCTTATATTGCAGCCAATTGAGTCATACTTACCCTACTTAACGATGACACATTTGCAATTAATAACACTATTGTCTCTAAATTATAAAATGATATATATATCTACGAAAGCATTGATTTTGTTGACACTAAACATCCTAAAAAGCTTTCCAACAGAATTCTTAAATTCTATAACACTTTCTGGTCTCCCACTACATAAACTCTCTCTCAAACAAAGTGTTATTTTTATCCTCCTAAAGAATATGTCTCCATCAATAGGACTATGCAATGGCACACTTCTCATCTTGAAAAATGCACTACTAAATATTTTAAATTGTGAAATTGTGATGGGGCAATTTAAAGGGACAAAATTTGTTATCCTATATATCACATTAATACCATTAAATATTGAAATTCCATTCAAAATGTCCAAAAGACAATTTCCAATGCCAGGGACGGACATTTGACTGAGTTAGAGTTTACTTGCCCCACCCAATTTTCACTCATGGACAACTTTATGTGGCTTTATCAAGATGCACATCACCATATGTGTAGTGCACCTTATTTCTCTCCCCTTAAGCCAATTGGAAAAGGGGCAATTGCTTGATGAGAGAGCCCTTAGTGGTTATTTTATCCCCATTTATCCCCTAAGGTTCCAAGTAGCTACACTCACCCCCCCTTTAGAGATGTCCTACAGGATACCTTCGTCCGTGGATACTCCACAGTCCCACAGTGGATACCTTCGTTCGTGGATACTCCACACAAAAGGAAGGACGTACGCACAGTGGATACCTTCGTCCGTGGATATTCCACACAAAAGGAAGGACGTATGCATGGATGCCCAATACGTACAATTTCAAATTTAGGGATAGAAATATACCTTGCTCAAGGGTATATTATATTTCTGAATCTACCAATCCTTCCATTGTGTAGACCATGTGTAGACCATCTGAATCTACAGTATCCACACAAAAGGAAGGACATACGCACAGTGGATACCTTCGTCCGTGGATACTCCACACAAAAGGAAGGACGTACGCATGGATGCCCAATACGTACAATTTCAAATTTAGGGATAGGAATATACCTTGCTCAAAGGTATATTATATTTTAAGTAGCCACTAATCAATGGGAATCGAACCCGTGCCATTTGCTCCGATACCAACTATAACACACTTTATCTCTCTCCCCTTAAGCCAACTGGAAAAGGGGCAATTGTTTGATGAGAGAGCCCTTAGTGGCTATTTTATCCCCATTTATCCCCTAAGGTTCCAAGGATCCACAGTGACAGTATATTCAAATCTCATCCCATGATCACATGCATTACAATATGGACTTGGAATTAAAGTTCAAAACACCACACACAAGGGTCACTTCCTTCCTCAAAATCCTTCTGTTTTTACAATCAATACTAATATAAAACCTTTTTGTAAACCACCTAACATTTGTTGGGTAAATACTCATGATTACATAGCATTTCTCTCTTTCCACTCCCATCTGCATCTGTCCATCCAACGACTATGGTTTTTCTCAGCTTTTGACCAGCACTTCTTTGACATTTTGGAGTTTAGAAACATTTTTTACCATTATTTGTTCTTCATGAAGAAAAAAAGAATTTGAACAGTGGGACAATAGCATGGCTATCTCCACCACATTTGATTCCTCTCCATGATGACAAAACTAAGCAAGGATCATCACCTATCCACCTGTAAAGTTCTGGTGGATTCCCAAGAGTGTGCTTGAAAACTTGCAAGGCATCCGTTGGAAAAATAAGACTAAGGATGATCCAAGAGGAGAAGACTATGTAGCAATAGTTACTAGCTCCAGGTTGTGCAAAGATGAAGAGCATGCCCATATTCCATAATGCCAAAGCTAATAGTACCATTGAGCTTCACAAATTCATAGAAACCTCCATATGATCATTGTTGCTGCCCCTTGAGAGCAAAAAAAAGAGCACTTCCAATCTAGCTGCTGCTGCTGCTGCTGCTTGGGTTGACTAGCATTTCCATTCCAGAGAAGAACCTCAAACCCCTTAGAGAAGAGGGTATCCCAACATCTGCCAATCTAGAGGAGCAAAGCAAAAGGAGAGATACTTACTCACTGGTTAGCATTGCATGCAAAGGAAAAGACTAGGAAAATACCAGGACAAGACCCTCTTTTCTCTCATCTCTGTCCTATGAAAGAGGCTTTGGTCCAAGTTAAAGTGATTGGAACTAATGTTGTCACAGAGAGAGAGAGAGAGAGAGAGAGAGAGTCGGACAGGAGTGGAAAGAGAGAAATGCTATGTAATCATGCCACACCATTGCCAGCTAGGTGGAGAAGGATGGTGTTTAATGGGAGGCCTCCTGTGCTCCCCTTCCTCCCATCCCTCTCTCTCTTTTCATGGTGGCACTTCATTGCCTCCCATGCAAAGAGAGGGAGTTTACAAAAATTGAAGTTGCAAAACAAAGAACCAGAAATATTTGGTGTTAACCTGTTTTCTGAAGCAGTCATAAATGGCAGTATCCAATGGCATACCAAAACACAAATCAACTTATATGAAACATGCAATATGTATTTAAGAATGTTATAAATTATACACATTAAATAGAATATACTTGAAATATAAACATCTTTATAATTTGATTATTAAAACATTTACAAAACTGTGTATCGGAGCCCCGACGCTGGAGAAGTACGGGAGCTCCCTCGCTGGGCATAAGTGGAGCCACGGCGAGGCAGCCATGAACAACGACACCAAGTTCTTGGCAGGTGGGAAGAGATTTGAGCGTGTTCTCCCATCTTCGCGAAACGATGGAGATGCAACATCACCGGTGAGGTAGAGTGCTATGCACGTGGGAAGATCACGGCCGTCCAGAAGGCCATCCTCTTGGAATCCAGCGAGTCGCAGACACCATACATGTCGACCAGCGCAGTGAGTACCAGACTGTCCTGCCTCGCTGGAGGCCGATCGTCCAAAGCCCTAAACTTCCAGACTACAAAATAATCTCTCTTTAGATATTTGCTTGTTCTCGCTCTCTCTCTCTCTCTCTCTCCAAGATGGTGTTGCTGGAGATGTTACAGATTGTGGAGATAATTTTTGCTGTCGATTTTGTATGCACCGAGTGGAATGTCAAGGATGAGCTCCCGGACGATTTGGACTCTCTCATCCAGGTAAGTTTTTTTTGGGTCTTCTTCTCAAGATTTCTTTCCTCGTTCTTGCAGGCTCAGGAAATGGAAGCTGCACAGGAAAAGGTATGGCTCTTCTTCCTTTCTCGTTTTCCCCTTCCTTTCCTATTCTGTTAATGCTCTCTTTTGGCGCAGCACGAATCCTCCCTCGAACAGCTTTGCATCAAACCGCCCGAGCGGCAGCAAATCCGACGCTGTGACGATGAAAAGGTGGTGGAGGTACAGGAGCTCTCCTGGAAGCCCGAGCTGGGTCAAGGTTCCCATGATCTCCTCTGGTTTCGTGATTTCTGGCTAACTCTTTTTCTTGTAAACAGGGCTATTCTACCCGGAGTTTGGCGCAGTGGAGCTGTTTGGAAAGGCACCTCCAGCGGTGGATCATTACCATGATCACGGCCCTCTCGATTACCGCAAACATACTTTCCCTAGCAGTAAGTTTTTTCGTGATTTCTGAGGGATTGGCTAACTCTTTTCCTAACAGGGCTATTCTACCATGATCGAGTGGAGCTGCTTGGAAACAAGAGGAAGGCACCACCGGAGTACTATGATCACCCGCCTCTTGATCGCCTCAAAGTTACTCTCTCTAACAGTAAGTTAGTTTCTTGATTTGTACGGGGGATCAGCTAACTCTTTCCCTTGTAAACAGGGCTATTCTACTGGGAGTTTGAGCTGCTCGGAAACAAGAGGAAGGCACCGCCGGTGGTGGATCATTACTGTGATCATCCGCCTCTCAATCCCTGGGAACTTACTCTCCCTGACAGTAAGTTTGTTTCGTGATTTCTGTGATCGGCTAACTCTTTTCCTTGTAAACAGGACTATTCTACTCGGGGTTTGAGCTGCTTCGAAACAAAAGGAAGGCACCAGAGGCGGTGGATCATTACTGTGATCATCCGGCTTTCAAACGCCACAAACTTGCTAAGAAGGCAGGGGACTCTCCTCTCAGCGAGAACGGGATGATGATGGTGGAAGTGATCAAGCGGCATCCACCTGACTTCGCCAACATGATCCAAGACTATCATGGCGTGAGACCGACGCTGGCTCACTACGACTGCCTGGCGGATCCCCTGTGCCGGACGGGGCTGTTCGGCCAGGCCGTGGAGCTCATCGACACCATGCCTTTTGAGCCGGACTTGGACGACGCTCCTGGTGGCGTGCCAGACTCTCTCGACTCTAGATACGACAAGGCAAAGGTGACGACGGACCCTCACAACGCCTTCTACCTCACACGTCCGGACTTACAGGCAGGACCGGCTCAACGTCTCGCTCAACTCGATCGGCGGTGCTCCATCGAGACCAGGGATCATATCCAAGCGTGGGAGACGGCACATTCTTATGCTGCCGCCGTCGATTAGGAGCTCCACAGGCTAAACATCGAGCTGACCATGGAGCGGGGGTGCAAGGTGGACGTGCTGCTGGGGCTTGTGAGCAAGGTGCCAGGTACGACCATCCAGGCCGTCAAGAACCTCAAGGTTGACACCACTCTTCTCCAAGACCGTGCCGAGAAGTAGAAGCTTCTGCAATAGCAGGAAGCCGTCTCTCCAACGACTCATACTGGGAACTCTTTGTGATTTTAAAATGTATATATTAGTATTAAAGATCTAAGTTTGTAAAGTCTGGTCAAATTTACAGTCATTTCCATACGATATTAACAGGATTTCAACCACTGAGGTCTTAAGTTAAGAACGCTTGTAGCAGTAACTGGTGGGAGTAGAGGTCTTGAATTTACCACGCCATGTGAGTGTGTGCCCATGAAGTTGACGAATCTTCCCATGGCTGGAGCATTCTCCCACGAGTAGTAGGACTCGTCTAACACCACTCCATTGAAATAATAGTCTACACACCACTTTAGAATGTTGATATACAATGACCATATTGTCATGCCCATCTCAACATTAGATTCCAACTTCTTCGATGTCCCCAATTTCCTTGGCAGATGCAAGAGAAATCGCTCCAACGCTCTTGTGTTGACATGCCCATCGCAGTTGATTATAAACTCCCCTACCTCACTGAAACCTCCATGTACGTTTGCTGGAGCTTGTCGATGCCATTGTTTCGGATTGTGAGCGCCTCCAGGCCAGGCAAGAAATCGTTCCCCAGAAGGAAGCACAGGAACACGAGATCCCTCATGGTGGACCGCAGCCGCACGGAGCACGGCTCTTCCATCTGCACCTCGAAATCACGCACGAGCGTCTCGATGCTGATGAGTTTGTAAATCATCACTCCGTCCTTCGGCGTCTGGCGGACGATGTTGATCTTCCTGGAGAGTGGGCTAGCGAGAGCCAGCATGATCAAGTCGGCGTCGCGTCCAACCACGCAGTGGAAGTCGTGGGCGTTGAACGGCAGAGCCCGTATGTGGTTGAAGATCTTGAGCTCGCCCTCCCCGTCCTCCTCGGACGTGGAAACGATCCACTGGAGCCTCGAGCTAGTCATTGATCTCCTCCGGCGATGATCATCTGAACTTGACAGCATCATGCTTGCCACAAATCGTCGCAGTTCACTCTCCAGCCTGTTCATGAAAGGCGTTCCATGGCGGACCATCGCCATCTTGGCCTTGCGATTGCGTGGGATGAGATCACCTGTCTGACCTTTGGTGGAATCGAGCTCATCCTCCGAGGAGGACAAGGAGGAGAGAGAAGCATCGCGATTGTAGCGACACGGCTTCTTGAAGAGCTTGCTGAAGAGCTTGGGGGTGGGAGGCCTTCCATCCAGGGCTAGGAAGACGAGCTTGGTCGGAGCCACCATGGCGACGAGCTTGCGGAGCGAGTCGAGGAACTCTTGGTAAAAAGTGGCGAAGGTGTCGTAGCGAAGAATATTGTTCTTGGCACCATCAATCGCGTCCCTCACACACCGAGGATGCTTGGATACGAGCCAAGCGAAAAACCCAGGAACTCCCATGATCGATTGGTCTTGCTTGATCGCTCTTGGAGAGGATGGAAAGTGATAAACCCTCACAAGCATTTTCGCTGTTATATAGTAGCGAGGGAAAAGGTAATTAATTGTATCTTAGATTAAAATGTGGTTAGATAAATACGTTTAGCTAGTAAAGTTAATTCTTAGATTAAAATGTGGTTAGATAAATACTTTTAGCTAGTAAAGTTAATTCGTCAATGGGCAGTGAATCTGGAGTTACTCCCTCAATGGTTTCCATTACAGCTTTGCTTGGCTGAGAAGAAAACACGCAGAGTGAGCTTATCCCATTTTGAGCTCAAAACATACCCAAGGCGTACAGAAGGATGGACCGTTTCAATTCTGGTCATTTTGGCTTGAGTTTAAAATTGAGTGTATGTCCTCAATTGTGAGTGTTATTAAAAGCCTTTGTTTTATCATTGTTGCTAAAGAGTTTATGTTCAATTTTTTATTAATTTTCTTAGCTCAAGGGTTAAGTTGTATATTGAGGAGTGTGAATCTTTTCTTTATTTTGTGGTGGCTAAAGTATTTTAAGACAAAAAACCCTTTATTTCTATGTTTTGAGCATATTTTATTTTTTCATCATTTTTGTTTTGACAGTAGCTAAAAATTCCTAGATAGGAGTTTGGCCTCAATGATAAAATGGGGACAAATAGATATTGTAGTTGTGCTAGGATGAACAACATAGATTATGGAATAAAGACGAATATAGCAAGTTTGAATAAAACACTTAACCCCAATTTAGTGATGTTGAATATATGCAATAGTGAAGTGAAGTTGAACATAGATAGTGGAATGAGGATTAATGCAATAAATTTGAATAAGGTTGATACTTTAAAAGTGTTTTTTCTTTAAAGGAAGGGATAAAGAGGATATAGAAATTAAATAGAGTGAGTTCAACTTTCTATATGTGGTGTTAGATAAAGATAATAGTCATAAATTTGAGTTAATAATGGTCTTAAAAGATTGTCAATAAACAAACTTAAAGATGGGATATATTATTTACTATAATGATGTTTTATGGATTATAATGGCTTTTAAAGTCTTTTGTTTTAGTTCGAAGTTATGTATTCAAGGTTGGTTTGAACATTTAGCAATTGCACATAGAGTTGAAATTGGTTCATCGGAAATCTATAATTAATTGATGTTTATTTTATAGCTTTGAATTTTTTTTAGTCATACTTATTAGCAACTACGTTGGTGGTTTTATAGAAAATTCAAATTCTTATAGTTTTCTATAATCACCTAATAAAAGCTCTAGATGTTCCACTTAATTTATCATCTTATCTTCCAAAGGAGACAATAATGTAATATATATATATATATATATATATAAATATAATCTTAGGTGATACTATAGCATATAAACTATCTATTTAGGACTGAATCTAATCTATCCATTCTTGTATATAAACAATAGTTTAAAGCCTAATCAATATACCTATTCTATATCTCGAGCACTCACAATATAAATTTAAATTTATGAAAGAATTCATTAATTATGAGAATTAACATTTTAAAGTGTTAAAGTAATCTCTATATTTAGATAAATTTATATCATTGATAAGAAAATTGTAAATAAAAAATATTCAAGTATAGTTTTCAATTGCATCTAAAGAGTTCCTAGTATGTGAGTTGGAGGAGAGACCAAACAATCAAGAGGGCTTCCTGCTACTGTACGCATGTCCTTCTAAATGTGGTGGAACTCAACCTGACGTTGATATTGTGGTGGCAGACTTGAGGTTCTTGACTGGCAGCGTGCCTCAGCAGCACGGCCTGTGGTACTTCTGCACCTACACTCGATGATCAGCTCAATGTTTAGCCTGGTCGCATAAGCCGCCATGATCTCGTGGGTCCACCGCCCGACCTGACGCTAGATCGAGTTGAGCTTGTCCGAGACGTTGAGCCTGTCCTTCTGGACACCCGATCCGCGAAGTAGATCTTGGTGTTGTGAGGCTTCGTCGCCAGAGCCTTGCACCAGTAGAGAGTCGATTGAGTCTGGCACGCTGCCAGGAGCATCGCCCACACCCGGCTCGAAAGGCATGCTGTCCTCGGCCCGAGCAGCCCCTTCTGGCCGAGAATGTAAACTTTATAAATGAATAAAGTTTTTTAATCTATTTCTTCTAGTTATTCTAATTCTTTAATTTTCAATTCAATTTAATTATCAAAAAGAGTGGTTTAATAAAATAAGAACAACTAACTGATTTATTGTAATTGGCAATGGTTTAAAAATGAAGCATCTGGTGAATGAAATTTGAAAATTCCCATTGAAAATAATTCTATAGTATCTGTGAAAAATGCCTTATATAACACCAAAAATGTATTTTCTAATACTTTAATTATAGATATATAGTCACTTTTGACAAATACTTTATGAAAATGTTACTTATACAACAACCTTGAACCATATGTAGTAAAAACATTTCATTTATGATTTAAAGTATATCTCTAAGGATTTTGGTTCTTGTGAGTCTTGTATCAAAGGCAAAATCCGTAGATTTCTATATCCAGAATCCATTACTGTTATCACAAAACTTGTATGCACATATATATATCTGAGTAAGCCTATATTTTTGGCTCAATCATATAACAAATCAATTCTATCCCTGACTATAGGTGAAACATCCCAAGGTTTTGGCAGTAATGAAGGCATTGCAGTTCTTGTCAAACGCTTATGCTGTCCCTATCAAGAATCAAAGATCTCTCTGTATTGTGCAAGGAAGAACTATCCAGCCCCATCCTCTCCCTTTCTCTTCTTTTTTCTTGTTGTGGCCAACAGCGGAGTTGGGCTGTGTCGCATCTGGAGTCCAAGTAATCAATGTTATGCTCTTGGACCGCGTCCCGTCTGGAGTCCAAGTAATCATGTTGTGTTGAATTCTTTTTTGATTGCACACAATGATTAATCGTAAACTAGAATTAATTTTTTTCTAATAAATGAATGAGCGAAACTGAAGACATTCTTTCTTTCCTGCTCCGAACTCTTTATCATTCGTGGACAACTCAAATTTCCACAAATATCTTTTTCGCCTCGCTTGTACACAGGTTTATAATATTCACAACCAGGTTCTCACCTGGAGAGGAGCAAAATATTTTAGAACATCCTCACAAAAGAAACAAAAACTTGCCTGCGAAAGATGTCCTAACCAGCGTGAGTCGAATAGCAACTCACCCATTGTTAAGCCACCAGAGAAGTTTTCCAATCAAACGGAACACAACAAGCATCTCCACTCTATCCATCATCCTTCGCTGCCTCCTCCCTACGTATTCTTTCCTCCTCCTCCTTATTAAATATAGCGTTCAATTGGCGTTCTAGCTGAAAACAGGACAAAACAGAATAAAAATTAAATAGAGAAAAATTAGAAGACAGTATAGTTTACCTGTACATTCCGTAATTTTACAATCTGCAATTCTTCCGCCAATAATCCCACTCTGAAATTTCGTCTTTTAGTTTGGAAATCCAGGAACTTTTTACGAACCTAGATTGCAAATCGTTGAGTTGCTGAAGCAGTTCGCGCTCTTTTTCTGTAGGAGGGTCGGCCTAGAAAAGAAAAACACATTTTAGTCCAGAAAAGAGCATCACGTTGCAAAGAAGTTCTACCATATCGTCACCACGGTAGAAGTTTCGTTGATTTGTAAACATCATCCGTGCAGCTATAACAGAAACCATGGAAGTATAAGATGGATGATCAAAGTGTTTATTGCATACCGGCCGGGACCTCTCCTGGATTTACAGTACTCAAAAGACTCATCAAAATGTCCTAAAGAAAGAGAGACAGAAAAAAAAAAAACAAAAACATTAGCAAGAGAATCCTCGGAACTATCAACATGCCTGTTGCGTAGCGTTTTGATGAAGAAGAGTTTGGAGTTGAGGCATAATAGCAGCCACAGGAATGCTTGCAACTCCATTTGCGACCACAGGTTGGGACGATGATGTTGGAAATTGCTGGAAAAATAAAGAAATTGTACCAATGACACATAAGGAAATAAATTTGTACCTGCATACTTGCTATCCTCCGATTGCTGGAGTGATCCTATAATTAAAAAACACTTATTTTCCAACAAAAATAATGTAGGAAAATACCTCCACAACACCAGTATCCCCTGATGTCACCCGAAATCTGCCTTTCACAAGCGTTCCCTTTGATTTTTCCTCTGAGGCCTCTTTGCTACCTGAGAAAGAAACAAAATGTTGAATCAGATGTTGTGACAGACACTCATTCTAGGATGCATGACAAAGCTTTTAAGGAAGCCAGTCATTACAAGATAAACATGCCTGCTGAAGCTCTTGAAGGTCCTGGAGAACCATTTGCAAATCCACAAGGCAAAGGCCCACTGAATGATGAGCGGGTTCGCACTAGATCATCAATACCACGGACGGACAACCTGGTTGATTCAACATGTAAGACAAAGAGATCAAACAAGTAAAGGCAATACCTTTCTTTTTCTTCTCGAAAACACGCAAGAACGCGATCAGGTAGCAAAGGACCGCTAGCAGACTTCCGATGTTCTTCACCATCGAGTCGCCTTCTCTCTTTGTCATCTTTCTCGTCGATCTTGCGTGACTCTTTCTCTTCCCTCCGTGACTCGCTTTCGTCCACCTTCACCTTCATGCCTTCATGCCATCCAGGGCTCTCCATTTCCAGGTCATCTTCGAAAACGTCGAATCGCCCACTGTATAACCATGTAAGAGTTCAGGACAAAATCGCAAAACAGAAACTTACATGTGCTTGGGTTCCTTTCTCCCAGCGGCTAGCCTGAATAAAACATTGAGCAAATATGACAGCGAACTTATAACGTTGCTTCTTACCCTTGCTTCCCATTAAACTTTGAAGGAATGATTAACCGTCCCCGAGCTGTTGAACGATCGGCAGCCTTTCGAGTAAACAGAAAACACACACTAGTCAACATAGAAAATCAACAGGAAATAAGGCTGAGCTTACATCGGTTGCACTTTCGGGTTTGGATGGTGGTGATTGAGCGCGTTCGTGATCAGGCAGTTCAACAATCTCGGGGCTTTCTTTGAAAAAAGAAGAATTTTCATCGTTCTTTTCAGGATACACGTCGTCGTCGTCTTGAATCTGATCCAGCGAACTTTAGCAAGGTGTTAAAAACAAGTTTAATTACCAGCGCGGCCTGAGCCTTCAAATCCTCGACATCAAAATTCCAGCTGCTCACACCTCGTTTATACTCTTTCTGCATCAGCCCAACATTTTAAACACTTAATCATGGAGCCGGCGAAATGGCCCGAACCTGTGATTGTTCTTCCTGCTCGCCATATGGAATTTTCTTTTGCGCAAGTCGAGCAGCATCATTTATCTGGAAATCAAGCATAAGAAGACCGAGTACATCAGCTACTGATAAAAATTAATACCTTGAGAGTTCTCACTCGTTCCCATAACGGAGGTAGTCCTTCCAACACATGCCGAACCAAATATTCAGTAGACTTTGCACCTTTAAAAAACGAGTGCTTCAACAGCTTCTCCGCAGTAGGCCGTTTAGTTGGATCTTTCACCAAGCACATTGCAATCATCTCCTTGAAAGACTATTTCACAAATAAAGATCTAGTCAGACGCCAGTGCTCGGTCTACCATACCTTAGAAAAACGTCGATCACGTTCATAATCAAGACCAGGAGGCGCATTTTGCAGCGTCATTAGTAAAACCTGGCAAGACACAGCGTGAGAGATTGCTCAAAACCGCAGATTTCAGACCTTCATCGGAGGATATTTCGAAAACGGTGCATGCCCGTGAGCCAACTCCAACGCAGTGATCCCGAAGGACCAGATATCAGCCCTGCAGGACAACAACAACGCTTAGAAAAATTCTCATCGGCAAGAAGAAGAAGAAAAAAGAAGCTCCATTACTTAAAATCATAACCGTGTATCTGCTCCATGACTTCTGGAGCCATCCTACATTCACAAGGAAGGCCTTAACAACATAGTAAGTGATTAGATCATGAAACACACCAACAAGGGGTCCCCACAAACGTATTTCGGGATCGTTGACGATCCCCGGTATCGAAAAGGCAGGCCGAAACACCGAAGTCCCCTAGTTTTATGGCGCCATTGCTATCGATCAATATATTCCCTGCCTGTGACAAGACCCCGGATCAAATATGAGATCACGTCCTAATCCATTCGAGCACACAGACCTTCACGTCACGGTGAATATGCCCGTGACGATGCAAGTACTCGAGAGCTTTAAGAGTGTCCTTCAAGACCGTCGCGATGACAGCCTCCTCAAAGCCATCCGGGTACGCTGCTTTCATGATGTGAAGGCACGAGCCGCCAGCCATGTAAGGCATGACCACCCAGAGGCTGTGCTCCACCACGAACGAGCAGTACGCTCTCACGACATTTGGATGGTTTATCAGGCTCATGGTCTTGGCCTCTTTCCGGATTTCATCCTGCATGGAAGAAGAGAGAGCCATGAGAAGAAAGAGCTCTCATCCAGGATCGCCCAAGAAACTCACCAGATTGGAACTACATTTCTCCAAGTCGAGGCTCTTGATGGCCACAATCTCTTTGAAGCTGATGCACATCGCGCGATAGACCGTGGCGCTCACTCCCTGCCCTACCTCCTCGAGAAGCTGATAGTCACTGGCCAATGCCGGGTACTGCCTCTTGTCTTCCATGGCCACGCCACCACCAAGCAATTCCAGCCACTCCCCCCTAGAATTTATACACCATCCTCCACGGCCAGCACAGGTAGCAGAACCAATACAATTGCCCCAAATTCACGCACAGGAGCTCCAGCGGATCCATCCCCGGGATGTCCTCCTTCCCTACTACAGTCTCTCTCTTTCTCTCTCCAATTCCCCCAGTCAAATCGCGACTTTGAATCCCAATTCCCCAGCCTTGACGAGGCGCCTGGATTCCTGAGCTCTCCCGGCAATCATCTTGACGAGCAAGAGAAACCTGTCCTGGAATTCGCTCAGCTGGTGGCAGATCTACACATACCGGCCTCCAATCGCCCCTGGCCGTCGCAGCTTCACGCCCATGCCCCAGAGCCGGTACCGCCCATGGCCGCGACACAGGTTCCGCATGGCGAAACCCTAACCTGGCACTCCTCCGCCTAAGCACTACCAGATCACGACTATTTCCTCCTCGCGCGGATCAATCAGCTCCATGGGCGCCGGGAATCGCCGCGCGCCATCTCCAATCCTGGCCCCTCTCTTCCTCTCTCCCTCTCCTTTCTTCCTCTCTCGTTCTTCTCTCTCCCTCCCCCTCACAAACAAAAAGGAGTGGAATATATCTGAGGCCGAAATTATAAGAATGCGACCATGGCTGTTTTAAAAAGAAAATGACCTAAAGATAACGGCGACAAGCTGTTAAGTTTTAGGGTTTCGTCCAGTTTGTGTGCTCCCCGTGAAGGAGCACACGTAGCTACAAACAAGGCCAGAGAGGTGGGGGGATGGATCGAATTTCCTGGGCATTCCAATGTCTACTGGAATCTCTACGCGTACGGAATAGTACGGCCCGGACGACGCTCTTGCTTCTTCTTTGCGGCTGTTCCTTCTTCTTCCTCTCGTCGTCACAGTTAAATCTTTCGCTTTTGATGGGTTGGTTTTCTTGATTCCTGTGGGCTTTGATCCTCTGTAGGAGCGATGATGTTAGAACGCTCGACGTTGGTCGGGAGAGGCTGGGGGAGATTTTACCCCTGGCGGCGATGGGTAGCGCCGTGTATCAAGTCCGAGGCCTGGATCCTGCTCACGACTATGAGATCAAAGTCTCGTACCCGGCCTCCGTGAGTGTTGGAGCTGTCCTCCTCGGTCGTGATCTAGTGTTTTTTCCTCCGGTGATTCCAGGTACCAGCAGCATTCTCGCTCACGCTCTTGCACAGCCGCCGTTCCTCCGGTACTACTAGACGACTGCTCAACGTTGAAAAAATCATTTTTCCTGCTCGCGAGCACCTGATTCTGGACGAGGTTAGCGAGATTCAAAGCTTGTGTGGGAGAACTTACTCTAGGATCCTCTCGCCAGGGGTCTCACAAAGTTTTTGTTCGCGTCTCGGTCAAGCCCGCGGGGGTAATCGCCAAGAGGAACTTCAAGGAGCAGGAGTTTATTGTATATAACATAAGTCCGTAACTGTCGCTCGCTTAGTTTCGGAAAGTTTTGTTCTGACCAGTACCTCGTGGCAGTGTGCGAGCGAGTGTTCTTCAGTGGGATCCCTGAGCAAGCCTGGTGGATAGGATTTTTGGCAACTGGAGCGCTTCTCTTTTCATATTTCCTAGCAAATATCCTGCCACATTTACTGTTCGGCACAACAGCTAAGTCGGCACAGAATTAAGCTTTCTCGCTACAAAATGGTGCAGAAATACAAAACCTTGATAATCCTCGGGCATATCGGTCAGTCGGAGCTTTCGTCATCGGCAGTCGAGCCACCAGCGTTACCCTTGTTGTACCCCTGCATTTGCTTGGTGTACCGTTCCTTGTCAACACGAGCCTGAGATTCGAATGGCTCTTTCTCATCCTCTGCGCAAAAAAGTTCTACAAGTATTAAACAAAAGAGAAACACTTTAGAAAACATACTGCTCATCGCCTTCCAACGCTCGCCAAGCGTTTTCGCCACATCCTTGAAAGAAATCCCTGGTGTGCTTTTCTTTAGATTCTGTATATCACATCACAGATGGTAAGCGACGGGATAATTTGTAAGAACAACACGTACCTCTCTCTCTGCCAGTGAAAAGTACATGAAGCCACTAAGCGCTCTTTTAGGAGCGTTAGGATCCTTTTTTCGTCTCTTCTTCTTCTTGTCCCCGTCACCTTCTTCATCTTTCTTTTTCTTTTTGCTCGCTGCTGGCTTTTGAGACGCTTCGACTTTCTTCTTATCCTTTTTGACAGGTCTCTGTATAAGTACATTAGCACCTCGAGAAAACGTGAAATATCCTCACCTCATCTTGCTGCTCCCCACCACTGTCACTTGCATCGGGTTCTTCCTCTTCACCGGAATCATCTGTCGGAGATCCTTCATCATCCTTATCGGCGACAAAGTCTTCGTCCTCTTCGTCACTATCTCCCTCGTCTCCCGTTGCACGCGCTATTCTTATCCGTTCAAGATGCGGATCGACACCTTCGTCATCAGAACCTTGAAGCGCCTCCGCAACAGCACTTGATCCTTGTGTTTGGAAGTTCAAAATTTTCAAGCCCTTCTCACTGCAAAAAAATGAGGAGAATTAAGTACATCTTCCAACCAGTTTACCTGATAAATTTGAAAAGACTGTGATATTCGTTTCGCGAGATGTTACGAAACAGATGCTCTTGATCAGTTTTTAAACGTAATATCAAATCAAAGTTCTTGGATGACATACTGCTCGTTCCTGCGGCTCCATGTCTTTCAAACTCCACGTAATCTATCTGCAATATACAATCTTAAACCAAATCCAGGGACTATGATGAACTTACTTCTTCATAAACTATAAGTGTCGGTGGCTTAGGCAAAAAGAAAAAGCTCTTCTCCAGAGGATAAAGAAGGCCTTCTTCCGCTTTCAAGGCTGCCCGAACTGCGTAGCCTTCTTGACTACTGCGGAACTTGGTACCAGGTTTAGTGATTCCAGCGCCCGAAAGTCCCCTCAGAATCTCCACAAAAACTTCATATGACAGCCCCTACAAACAAGCAGCAATGTTATGCGTTGCACGGAAGTAGAAAATCTACCTTATATTGAGGTGCCAGCCTGTCTTTATACTTGGTATTTAACAGCTCGTCACTGATCAAGGGCGTAAGCTCCGTTATCTCCTCAGACGGATACTGAATAAGAAAAGTACAACTTCTCTCAGTCGGCACATAGAAATTTTCGTTTACCTGAAAAACTATGTGCGGATAGAACGTCTGACCTTTGCGGATGGGAGGGTCCAGTGTAATCACAACATATGTGGAAGATTGAGCAGACTGCCGGCAAATCATCAGTATGTATTCACGAGGAAGAACGAAAAATTACCCTTGGAAGAACAAAGAGACGAGCAACACTGGTGTATTGGATCTTGAAGTCACTTGCTCCGAAAAGCCGCAAGAATGACAAGTGCAGCTCCACGAGGTATCGACCCCTGTAAACACAAATGCCTGTCATCAAAGAATAGAAAACAGTGAAATACGTACCTTGGAGTGAGAACATTGACAGTTTCAAATGCTGCGACGGCTTCTCCACCAGCTGGACCAACATCCGCCATCGAAAGAATCTTATCGCAAAAGACCTGCACAAACTAGATCAGCGACAGCAAAATCCCAACTCAAAACACACCTGCGCAGATACACGTTCCTCGTCACCAACAAACGTGGTATTAGTACTTGGAACGTGAAAACTCATCTCCATCAAAGTGTCTTTCTGCATATAGAGAGCTTATTGACAAACAAAATCGCCTAATTGAAGATTCCTACCTCATTGGCTGTGTCATCCACATGAAACTCCATCTGAACGTCATTCTTTCCCTGCACTTGTGTGTTGGAGATATCGGCAACGCATATCTCAAACGCCGGCTTTCCTCCGACGACGAACGATAGAGTGTTTCCTGGACAACAAAAAAACAAGTTTTGCACAGCACAAACACGCGATCGAAGTCACCTTCCAGTTCAGCTTCTCCCCAGTTACGTCCACTCACAGCCAAAGGCTTATCCTGAGGAGTAACTCCAATATTCGAGGTTATGAAGGTGTTCAAGCTAGAAACGTCCTAAAGAACAGAGAAACAAAAACAAAAGAAATCAATCGCAAGGTCACAGATAGCTTTGAGATTCACCTGCTCGCGAAACCCAGTAAACTTCACATTGGAGCCGGCCTTGAGCCTAATGCTCATCTGGTAGCTCCTAGAAACCCTCGTCCAACTCACGCTCTTGACATCGTCCTTGGCCACATCTACCACTTTGCCTCCGCCGGATTTCCGCCACGAGAAGCCTTTGGAGCTGATCTTGAGCTGCCCGGGATTCTGCGGCACCGATCAGTGAGCACTTAAACCCTAGCAACGAGCTCAAACGCAAAGAAATCTCTCCTGTGCGGCGCTACCAACAAGAGAAAGAACCACAAGGATCGGGCAACTCACCGCTCCACCGCGGCCTCCGAGGAGGATGTTGTTGAACTGATGCGCGTCGCCCATGGCGGGGCACGAAGAACACCGGCTAGGGCTCGTGGGGGTCTCCCGCCACAATGAAATTAGGGCGAGCCAGTTTTTTACTGGAGACACAAAATTCACACAAAGTCAAAAGTTTCGTATAGTGTCAAAGCTGCGAGGGAAAGCTTTGATTGGCGAACACACTAAAAGCTCTAGGAAGTTTCGACTCCCAGGATCATGGGAATCACTCTAGCACCGCGGCGATCATCATCAAGTCACTGCTCGCAAGGAGATCGTCCAGACTCCCGCCCGGTCCAATCTCCTTCCCAGTGGTGGGATCTTTGCTCTGGACCGGGGCCCGAGTGGAAGTTCATGCGCAAGATCTGCGCCACGAACCTCTTCCATGGACGCCATCCCGGTGCAGCGATCCCGTGAACTTGCCGACCCTCTTCGCCAGATACCCGTCGGGGTCCCTGTGCCTGAAGGAGTGCCCCGAGCTGGTGGCGACGATCAACAACCTGGCCGGGCAGGCGATCAACCTTAACATTGGCGAGCTCATCCCGTCGTTCGACTGCATGGGCGTCTACGCCAAGATGAGGGGCGAGATGATAAGGCGCTGCTCGACGATCAAGTCCGGGAGCACCAGGAGCGCAAGAAGGCGGAGGGCGATGGGTTTGTCTGCCGCGACTTTGTGGACGTTCTCATCTCCCTGGACGAGAGCGACAAGCTCTCGGACCAAGAGATCATCGGCCTCCTGATCACCATCCTTCTCGATCCTCTTCTCTGCGATGTGACGATCCATCGAACTTTCTTCCAGGATATGGTGGGTGCCGGATTCAAAACCTCCATGAAGTCGATCGAGTGGTACATGTCCGAAGTCCACAAACACGATCTCAAAACCTTCCATTCCCACCAGGCGGTGCCGCTGGAAACAACATCCTCCCCGTGGAGCTCGGCGATGGCCATGCCACCACAATCCCCGCCAAATGCAATCTCTGGGCGGCGAACGATCCAAAGCACTGGACAAGCCCCACGAATTCCAGCCCCGGCGATTCCTCCAACATCTCGCCCGGGGGCACTTCCAGATCATCCCATTCTCCGCCGGAGGAGGATGTGAGCCGGTTATGGCCTCGCCATGCGCCTCGTCTTCCTCCTCGCCAGCCTGCTACACGGATTCATCTGGACCGAGATCTCGGAAAAGCCCATCGCACTGGAGGAATCGATCGGAACCATTTCGTGCCAATGAACCTCATCGTCGGAGCGCAAGAACCCTAATCTGGCAAAGGTTCTGGTATATCAAAGGGGTTTATCTAGGGTTTGAGCCAAATGCTCTCGGCGCGCATTGCTTACTGCGGCAGCGTCGAGGCGAGGGTGCGATCGCGAATCCATGTCCGGTGCTTTGCGAAGATCAGCTCCTCGGTGCCTCCATTCTCGGCGGTGAAATTCCCTGGTAAGAAATTCTCGAAATATTTGGAGCTTGTAGCTACCCCGCCTTCTTCCTTGCTCCTTCAGCGCCAGAGCCCGGCGGCTATGGCGAGATATCCTACTGGGACAAGCGCTACGCGGAGCAACCCGATGCTACGCTCGATTGGTTCTCGGATTACTCCAGATTCGAGCCGATTGTCCGTAAGCACATCCCCAAATCTTCCCGGGTTTTGATGGCTGGGTGTGGCAATTCAGGTACCAAGATCTCAGTGAGCGATGCCATAGAAAAGAATACTAATTCCAGTGATGTAAAACAGCAATGTCTAACGATATGGTGGAAGATGGCTACCAGGAAATCGTCAACACCGATCTATCTTCGGTGGTGATTGACAACTTCAAAGCTAGATATGCTCACGTTCCTCAGCTATCTTGTATCCTTGGGCTTGGTGATGTTACTTCTTTGCACCAGCCATATCTTCCTTGACGAAACTTAAGACGTGGCAATAGATTCACGGGACATGAGTGCGTTTCAAGACTGTTCCTTTGACGCGATCATTGACAAAGGTAACAAAGTTATAGTTTACTCTCCAGAGTCTCCTCTTACATTTTCTTTCTCTTTGTTTTTCAGGCCTGGCCGACGCCATGCTAGTAAGTGTTTGTGTCACCAAGAATATCCTTGTCTAATGCAATTTGCGTTCCTTCTTTCAGTGTGGAGTTGATCCGGCCGAAGGCGTTCTAGAAATGCTAAGAGAGACTTACAGGTTTTGTGTGTACTACTACTGATTTAGTTCATGCTCTCTCTCTTGCAGGATTTTGAGACCACAAGGAGTGTTTATGCTGGTAAGAAGAAAGAAAACTTCTATAGTTCCTGATCTATAACCATTCTCACTGCAGATCACATACGGCCACCCTGAAATACGAATGCCGGCGTTGCTGGAACCAGGATTGAAATGGTCCATCCTTCTATACGCCTTGGGTATGTTTTGAGCTCTAAACGGGATAAGCTCACTCTCTGTGTATTTTCTTCTCAGCCAAGCCCGGCACTGAGAAAGCCGTAATGGAAACTATTGAGGGAGTAACTCCAGATTCACTGCCCATTGACGAGCGCAACTGGTCTCTCGGCTTGGAAGATTTTGGGGGTGACAAAGGAATGACCTTTGTCTACGTATGCTCAAAACCTAATGAAGCAGATAAGTAATATATTTAACAAACTTTACTAGCTAAAGTATTTATCTAACCACATTTATAACTAATTACCTTTTCCCACACGACTATATAACAGCGAAAATGCTTGTGAGGGTTTATCACTTTCCACCCTCTCCAAAAGGGATCAAGCAAGACCAATCGATCATGGGAGTTCCTGGGTTTTTAGCTTGGCTCGTATCCAAGCATCCTCGTTGCGTGAGGGACGCGATTGATGGTGCCAAGAACAATCTTCTTTGCTACGACACCACCAACTTGTATGTCGACCTCAACGCTGTCATCTGCGTCCTGAGAGCGACGATTGCCCGGCTACTTTCGCCACCTTTTACCAAGAGTTCCTCGACTCGCTCCACAAGCTCGTCACCATGGTGGCTCCGACCAAGCTCGTCTTCCTAGCCCTGGATGGAAGGCCTCTCATCCCCAAGCTCTTCAGCAAGCTCTTCAAGAAGCCGTGTCACAACAATCGCGATGCTTCTCCCTCCTCCTTGTCCTCCTCGGAGGATGAACTCGATTCCACCAAAGGTCAGACAGGTGATCTCATCCCAAGCAATCGAAAGGCCAAGATGGCAATGCTCCACCATGGAACGCCTTTCATGAACGGGCTGGAGAGTGAACTGCGAACGATTTGTGGCAAGCCGCCGGATGATGCTGTCAAGTTCATATGATCATCGCCGGAGGCGATCAATGACTAGCTCGAGGCTCCAGTGGATCGTTTCCACGTCCGAGGAGGACGGGGAGGGCGAGCTCAAGATCTTCAACCACATACGAGCTCTGGCGTTCAACGCCCACGACTTCCACTGCGTGGTTGGACGCGACGCCGACTTGATCATGCTGGCTCTCGCTAGCCCGCTCTCCAGGAAGATTAACATCGTCCGCCAGATGCCGAAGGACGGAGTGATGATTTACAAGCTCATCAGCATCGAGACGCTCATGCGTGATTTCGAGGTGCAGATGGAAGAGCCGTGCTCTGTGCGGCTGCGGTCCACCATGAGGGATCTCGTGTTCCTGTGCTTCCTTCTGGGGAACGATTTCCTGCCTGGCCTGGAGGCGCTCACAATCCGAAACAATGGCATCAACAAGCTCCAGCAAACGTACATGGAGGTTTTCAGTGAGGCAAGGGAGTTTATAATCAACTGTGATGGGCATGTCAACATGAGAGCATTGGAGTGATTTCTCTTGCATCTGCCGAGGCAATTGGAGACATCGGAGAACTTAAAATTTAGTGTTGACACGGCCGTGACAATGTGGTCATCGTATCTCAACATTCTAAGCTAGTGCGCAGATTACTATTTCAATGGAGTGGTGTTGGACGGGTCCTATTACTCGTGGAATAATGCTCTAGCCATGGAAGATTCGTCAACTTCATGGGCACACTTCCACGTACTGTTGGCGGCACGGTAACACTCCGGAGCAGTCTTAACTTAAGGCCTCAGTGGTTGAAATCGTGTTAATTATACTTTGGTTAAAAATTAAAAGGTACCGTAAAGGGTCACCTAAACCTTACTAGCCATTTTCTTAACTAGGTTAAGATTTGGGTATTTGCTTGTTTCTAGCGAGCGCTCTCTCTCTCTTTCTTTCCAAGATGTTGTTTGAGCTATTACAGATAGCGGAAATCGTGCTTGCCTTCAACTTTGTATGCAGTGAATGGAATGTCAAGGACGAGCTCCCAAGCGATTTAGATGCTCTAATTGAGGTGCGTTTTGGGGCTTCTTCTCAATCTCTCATTCCTGCTTTTAGGCTCAGGAAATCGAAGCTGCACAGGAAAAGGTATGGCTAGCGTTTCTCCTTTTCCTCTCTCATTTTCCCCTTCCTTTTTCCTTTATTGTTGATGCTCTCTTTGGTACAGCACGGTTCATCCCTCGGACAGCTTTGCAGCGTCGAAGCGCCCAAGCGGCAGCAAATCCTACGCTCTGACGGTGAAAAGGTGGTGGAGCTACAGGAGTTCGCCCGGAAGCCCGAGCTGGGTCAAGGTTTCCAAGGTCTCGTCGCTTGTTTTCCGCTAACTCTTTTTCTTGTAAGCAGGGTTGTTATACCCGGAGTTCGATGATCATAACACAGTGCTTGGAAACAAGAGGAAGGCGCCGCCGGCGGTCTGTGATCATCCGCCTCTCGATCGCGGCAAACTTACTCTCCCTAACGGTAAGCTTATTTCGTGATTTCGGTGTGGTCGGCTCACTAAACTGGGGAGTTGGACGATCGTGGTGCAGTAGAGCTGCTTGGAAATAAGAGGAAGGCACCGGCGGCGGTGGATCATGACTGTGATCATCCGCCTCTTGATCACCGCAAACTTACTCTCCCTGACAGTAAGATTGTTTCGTGATTTCTATGGGATCGGCTAACTCTTTTCCTTGTAAACAGGGCTAGAGATTGGTGGTCGTGGTAGGAAGGCACCGGTGAATCATTACTGTGATCATCCGCCTCTCGATCACCGCAAACTTACTCTCCCTGACAGTAAGTTTGTTTCGTGATTTCTGTGGAATCGGCTGACTCGTTTCCTTGACAGGGCTATTCTACCCGCTGCCTGGAAACAAGAGGAAGGCGCCGGCGGCGGTGGATCATTACTGTGACCATCCGCCTCTCAAACGCCGCAAACTTGTTAACACGGTGGCGGACTCTCCTCTCAGCGAGAACTGGATGATAATGATGGAAGTGGTCAAGCGTCATCCACCTGAGACGAAGCAGGTCTTTAACTTCGCCAACATCTATCATGGCATGAGCCCGGCGCTGGCTCACTACGACTGCCTGGCGGATCCTGCGCCGGAAGGGGCTGCTCGGCCGGGCCGAGGACAGCATGCCTTTCGAGCCGGGCGTGGGCGATGCTCCTGGCGGCGTGCCAGACTCAATCGACTCTCTACAGGTGCAAGGCTCTGGCGACGAAGCCTCACAACACCAAGAGATCGGGTGTCCAGAAGGACAGGCTCAACGTCTCGGACAAGCTCAACTCGATCTAGCGTCAGGTCGGGCGGTGGACCCACGAGATCATGACGGCTTATGCGACCAGGCTAAACATTGAGCTGATCATCGAGTGTAGGTGCAGAAGTACCACAGGCCGTGCTGCTGAGGCACGCTGCCAGTCAAGAACCTCAAGTCTGCCACCACAATATCAACGTCAGGTTGAGTTCCACCACATCGAGAAGGACGTGCGTACGGTAGCGAAGCCCTCTTGATTGCTTGGTCTCTCCTCCAACTCACATACTAGGAACTCTTTAGATGGTGATTGACAATTGAAACTATACTTGAATATTCTTTATTTATGATATAAATTTATCTAAACATAGAGATTACTTTAACACTTTAAAATGTTAATTCTTATAATTAATTAATTCCTTCATAAATTTAAATTTATATTGAGAGATATAAGAATAGGTATATTTATTGGTTTAGGGTTTAAACCCTTGTTTATATACAAGAATGGATAGATTAAATTCAGTCCTAAATAGATGGTTTATATGCTATAATATTACTTAAGTAAAGTATTATATATATATATATATATATATATATATATATATATATAATTAGGTGGAACATCTAGAGCTTCTATTAGGTGATTATAGATTACTATAAGAATCTGAAACTTCTATAAAACCACCAACCTAGTTGCTAATAAGTATGACTAAAAAAAATTCAAAGCTATAACATAAGCATTAATCAACTATAGATTCCCAATGAAACAATTTCAACTCTATGTGCAACTACTAAATATTCAAACCAACTTTGAAGCCATAACTTCAAACCAAAACAAAAGATTTTGAGAGCCATTATAATCTATAAAACATCATTGTAGTAAACAATACATCTCATCTTTAAGTTTATTTATTAATAATTTTCTAAGACCACTGTTAACTCAGACTTATGACTATTCTCCTTATCTAGCACAACATATAGAAAGTTGAACTCACTTTATTTATTTTCTATATCCTCTTTATCCCCTCCTTTAAAGAAAAAACACTTTTAAAGTATCAACTTTATTCAAATTTATTGCATTAATCCTCGCGTTACCATTTATGTTCAGCCTTACTTCAATATCACATGTATTCAACCTCACTAAATTGATATTTTGTTCAAACTTACTATGTTTGTCTTTATTCCATAATCCATGTTGTTCATCCTCGCACCACTACAATATCTATTTGTCCCCATTTCATCATTGAGGCCAAACTCCTGTCTAGGAATTTTTAGCTACTATTAAAACAAAAATGATGAAAGAAAAACAAATGTGCTTAAAACATAGAAAATAGAAGGTTTTTTGTTATAAATTACTTTAGCCACTACAATATAAACAAAAGATTCACACTCCTCAATATTGTAGCGTATATGATTATGGGATAAGATTTGGATATACTGTCATTGTGGATCTTTGGAACCTTGGGGGATAAATGGGGATAAAATAGCCATTAAAGGCTCTCTCATTAAGCAATTGCTTCTTTTCCAGTTGGCTTAAGGGGAGAGAGATAAGGTGTGCTACAGTTGGTATCGGAGCAAATGGCACGGGTTCAACTCCTATTAATTAGTGGCTACTTAAAAATATAATATACCCTTGAGCAACGTATATTCTTACCCTTAAATTTAAAATCGTACGTATTGGGCATCCATGCATACGTTCTTCCTCTTGTGTGGAGTATCCACCGTGGGACTGTGATACGGGTGGATGACTAGTTGCATCACATCATAGAATAGCTGGTCTACACAATGGAAGGATTGGTAGTTTCAGTGCGGAAATGGAGGTGCTGGTTCCCCTTGGCTCAATAGGGGTTGTTAGTTAATAGTCAATGAGGACATTGACATCTCTGAAGGGGCCTTGGCTCAGTAGGGGTTGTAATGAGGACATTGACATCTCTGAAGGGGGGGTGTGGTCTACACAATGGAAGGATTGGTAGATTCAGTGCGGAAATGAAGGTGTTGGTTCCCCTTGACTCAGTAGGGGTTGTTAGTCAATAGTCAATGAGGACATTGACATTTCTGAAGAGGCCTTGGCTCAGTAGGGGTTGTTAGTCAATAGTCAATGAGGACATTGACATCTTTGAAGGGGGGGTGTGGTCTATACAATGGAAGGATTGGTAGATTCAGTGTGGAAATGGAGGTGTCGGTTCCCCTTGGCTCAGTAGGGGTTCAGTGCGGAAATGAAGGTGTTGGTTCCCCTTGACTCAGTAGGGGTTGTTAGTCAATAGTCAATGAGGACATTGACATTTCTGAAGAGGCCTTGGCTCAGTAGGGGTTGTTAGTCAATAGTCAATGAGGACATTGACATCTTTGAAGGGGGGGTGTGGTCTATACAATGGAAGGATTAGTAGATTCAGTGTGGAAATGGAGGTGTCGGTTCCCCTTGGCTCAGTAGGGGTTGTTAGTCAATAGTCAATGAGGACATTGACATCTCTGAAGGGGGGGTGTGGTCTACACAATGGAAGGATTGGTAGATTCAGTCTAAAAATGGAGGTGTTGGTTCCCCTTGGCTCAGTAGGGGTTGTTAGTTAATAGTCAATGAGGACATTGACATCTATGAAGGGGGGGTGTGGTCTACACAATGGAAGGATTGGTGTGGTCTACACAATGGAAGGATTGGTAGATTCAATCCAGAAATGGAGGTGCTGGTTCCCCTTGGCTCAGTAGGGGTTGTTAGTTAATAGTCAATGGGGACATTGACATCTCTGAAGGGGGGGTGTGACATTGACATCTCTGAAGGGGGGGGTGTGGTTTACACAATGGAAGGATTGGTAGATTCAGTGCGGAAATGGAGGTGTTAGTTCCCCTTGGCTCAGTAGGGGTTGTTAGTCAATAGTCAATAAAGACATTGACATCTCTGAAAGAGGGGTTTGATCATGGGATGAGATTTTATACTGTCACTGTGCATCCTTGAAACCTTGAGGGATAAATGGGGATAAAATAGCCACTAAGGGCTCTCTCATCAAGCAATTGCCCCTTCTCATCAATTACCCCTTTTCCAATTGGTTTAAGGGGAGAGAGATAAGGTGCACTACAAATATACAACTCAACACTTGAGATAAAAGAATTAATAGAAAATTTACTTTTAAGAGAACATAAACTTTTTAACAACAACGATAAAACAAAGGCTTTTAACAACACTCACAATTGGGGACATACACTCAATTTGAAACTCAAGCCAAAATGACTCCTTAGAATAGAGAATACTCAACACTAGAATTGATCAAAGACTCCGTCAAATAAACAAAAGCAAGATTATCAACTTTTTGCATATGTTTAACATCTAAATTAGTATGAGGAGGATAGAAAACACTCAACTCAACATTAAATTGAGAATGAGAATTATAAAAATCATAAATGATTAATGTGTCATGAGAAGGAAATATTGAAAATAAGGAAGAAACACTAAAAATATAAAAAGTTGGATCAAGTTAAAAAATGGTTGGGAAAGAGTAAAAAGTAAAAAGAAAAGAATAGATAGATTGATATCTACCTTATGAAATCTCTAATTCATCTCTAAAACTATCTTTATAATCATCAAATTCCTCATCACAATCTGAAATATATTTAACCTTGTAAACATTATATTCCTATAAATTCAATAATCAAACATTCTTCAAGAACTGAATTATATTATCCATACCATAGTTTGCCAATCAATATCACAATCATGGTTCATATATTACCTTAGTAAAGATGAAATGTGTACATTTCTCTACTTTTTTTGGTACATTTTATTAAAGGATATTATTCATCCTATCAGTCAATGTGCAGTATCGGAAGAGGCTAAGAAGGTGAATTATTATATAAAAGAAGGGAGTAGTAATTCTAAATTTATGCTTTAAATGAGCACCTTTATACTACTATTATAAAGATGATTAGATCATTTACAACAGCAATAGCCTAATGTGAGAATGAGAATGAGGCCCAGTAGATGTCACTCAACACCAAAGATGCCTAATAAAAAAACAAGAGAAGATTATCTAAGTGATGAAATTAGTTCATCATTTGGCTCTACCTTTTAACATTATCAAATCTAAAGTTAAGGAATTTAAAAATTTTTTACAGAAGAAGATATTCTTGTAAACTCAATCAATGCTTGAAATTTTCTTTTGGGGATAGCACAAGAGGTAGAGGAGAAGCTATATGCTGAGAAAGAGGAGCCTATAATTTTCCATCATGATTGATAAGAGTACTGATAAAGCATTGGAGAAACACTTCTACCTAGAAACTAGAGGTCAGCTAGTTTGCAAGTTTATAAGGCTTTTCTTTATTGAAGGAAGAATGGCGGAGGCAATTGTTTTTACTCCAGAAGCTCTCTTCTTACAACTTGAGCTAGATTTGAAAAAGCTTGACTCTAATAAAGCCACAGGATAAAGCCTCATCCCTAATTGGATGTAGAACAAGTGTGGTACAATATTTGAAGGAGGAGCATCGTAAGATCCTTGGTGTTCATTGTGTTGTTTATAGGCTTGCTGCAACAGATGGTTCAACTTTTATTTGTAATGCTTTTTATGAGATTGATGCTGTTATTGCATGAAGTATATTGGTTATTTCATAATCAAGTTATATAATATTTGGTTCAATCTATACCAACTTTATTAGAGCAACAGCAAGAACTAGAGAAAGTAAAATATAAGATGTTAACAATATCTCAAGTACTTAATGTCTTTGTCATGGTATGGTAGATCTAATTTTTCATTCATTTATTGGCATACATGTTTTTAGAGTTGAACAAATTTAGCCTTCTAGTATGAAAAGAATGTCACCAACTACTCTAAGCTTAGAGATTAATTGGAGAGGTTATATTTAGATCTATTTTTGGAGGTAATTCTCCGAAGTAAAGAAGGTTCATTATCATTCATCAACATGAGTGGTGTGATCAAGATATACAACCCCAAATCTGTACATATACTTCCTTCTCAAGTAGGAATTAATTTAAATGTTAGTATAATGGGAGTAGAGTTAGGTTCTTCTGATGATTCAATCTTTAAAGAGAGGATGTACATGCAAGTTACCATAGAGATATCAATTCCCTCAACAGTATAAAGCGAATTAATCCATACTCCTACTTTACAAGGGACTTTGAAGGTTAATAAGTTACAAAAAGATGCTGGCTCAAAAGTCTTCTGTACAAAATCAACTTTAACTCATCAAAGTTTGTCACAATGAAGTGGAAGACTTCATCAACTTCCTCTCCAAAGCTTGTTCAACATGAGTATTTGTAGCAATGAGCAAATCTAGTGAAATATATTTCTAGGTAATGAATTCTTTACTACTTTTTTATTCTAACTCAAATATTAGTAGAGGTTTAATGAAATTGTGATAAGTCATTCTAGCCAACACTGCTGCATGCAAAAGAGGTTTCTCATTCCTGTACAATTTAAAAACAGATATGAGAGCTTGATTATATTTACTCTACTCATTAATGATAGTAAATCTTAATAGCTCATTAAGCAAACCAAAAATATTCATCCAATCTACTGTTTTAGGATGTAAGGTGGTAGTGGATATACCTAGAATATGCTTCAATATTCTAGGATATTCTACAATCTAACGATTTAGATTAATATTGTATTTATAATTTATAAAACTTCCTAAATACTTTCTAGTATATTCTATTTTATTCTAGCTGATATAAGAGTAATCTTATGGTTATACATGTTTACAATTATAAACTTCCATTTGATCAATTAGATTAGTAAATAAGAATAACATTACTATTAAAAAAACCAAACATTGCTGCATGCAATGAGTAGCAAATTATTCAAATTTAGAGAGATTTAGAAATTAAAAGTTTAAGTGATATTGAAAACATCATTTTATGCAGCAATTCTTAGTTTGCTTAATAGTAGTGTCATTCCTATTTATTAATCGAATTAATCAAATGGAAGTTTATAATTTATAAATACAAGATTAATCTTATTAGATATCAAGATGAATAAATGAATAATAACTGTTAGATGGTAAAATATTTTAAAATATTCAAAAATATTCTAATAGAACTAATTTATCTTGTCAAATGAAAACTTGTTAGTAAAAGAAAGGTAGAGGGTCTGGTGAAGTTTCTGCCTGCTCCATGATGTTATCTCAGAGCATTGAGCATATACAGCAGCGAGGTCAATTTTCCAGACAACAATCCAGAGGCGCCCACAGCCGCGAGCAAGGCACTGTGTGGCGGTGTGTGGCAAGGGCATCGAGCAAGAGGCTATGGAGATTGCAAAGAAGCTGTAGAGATACATTTTTTTACAAGCGGAGGAAGATTGTGGAATCATTCCCATCACGAGCCACAGATACTTGTGGAAGGATATTTTCGTGGGCATGAAATTAGTGGAGTAAATATTTTCCTGAATAGATATTGACAATGATTCCTCTCAAAGTCAAAAGTTACGTATAGTTACGTAAAATCAAAGCTGCAACAGTTTGTATAGAAGTGATTCATTGAGCGAGGAAGTTTCGACTCCCAGGCTCATGGGAATCACTATAGCGATCCTCGTGTGCTTGCTCGCGACCGCGGCGATCATCAAGTCACTGCTCGCAAGGAGATCGTCCAGACTCCCGCCCGGTCCAATCTCCTTCCCGGTGGTGGGATCTTTGCTCTCGCTCCGCCAGCCCCTCCACCGCCACTTCGCGCGCCTGGCCGATCGCTACGGCCCCATCGTCTTCCTCAAGATCGGCATGGTTCCATACGTTATCGCCAACACCGCTCGCGCCGCCGAGTTCTTCCTCAAGATCCACGACGCCGAGTTCGCCAATCGCCCCCAGTCGGAGGAGTTCTTCCGGATCTTCAGCTTCGGCTGGAGCGACCTGGCCTTCCGCTCACCGGGGCCCGAGTGGAAGCTCATGCGCAAGATCTGCGCCACGAACCTCTTCAGCAACGCTATGCTCGCCACCAGCGCCCCCTACCGCCGATCGCAGCTCCAGTCCGCCATGGACGCCATCCTCGATCGATCACGGGGCGGCGAGCCCGTGAACTTGCGGACCCTCCTCGCCCGATACACGTCGGGGTCGCTGTGCCTGACGCTCTTCAGCGAGGAGTGTCTCTCCCGGTGGTGGAGACGATCAACAACATGGCCGGGCAGGCGATCAACCTCAACATCGGCGAGATCATCCCGTCGCTCGACTGGATGGATCTCCACGGCGTCTACGCCACGATGAGGGGCGAGATCATGCCCCGGATCAAGGCGCTGCTCGACGATCAAGTCCGGGAGCACCAGGAGCGCAAGAAGGCGGCAGGCGATGGGTTTGTCTGCCGCGACTTTGTGGATGTTCTCATCTCCCTGGACGAGAGTGACAAGCTCTCGGACCAAGAGATCATCGGCCTCCTGTGTGTAAGTGATCACCATCCTTCTCGATCCTCTTCTCTGCGATGTGACGATCGATCGAACTTTCTTCCAGGATATGGTGGGTGCCGGATTCAAAACCTCCATGGAGTCGATCGAGTGGTGCATGGCAGAAGTGATCAGTAAACCCGAGATCATGCGCAAGGCCCAAGAAGAATTGGATCAAATCATCGGGAGGGAGCGCGCGGTGGAAGAACACGATCTCCAAAACCTTCCATTCATCCAGGCGATCCTCAAGGAGGCCCTCCGCCTCCACCCGGCGGTGCCGCTGGGAATGCCCCACTACAACCTCCGCCCCGTGGAGCTCGGCGATGGCCATGGCACCATAATCCCCGCCAAATGCAAACTCCTCGTCAATCTCTGGGCGGCGAACCGCGATCCAGCGCACTGGACAAGCCCCCACGAATTCCAGCCCGAGCGATTCCTGGGGACCAACATCTCGCCCGGGGGGCAGCACTTCCAAATCATCCCATTCTCCGCCGGGAGGAGGATGTGCGCCGGCTATGGCCTTGCCATGCGCTCCCTCTTCTTCCTCCTCGCCAGCCTGCTACACGGATTCATCTGGAGCGAGATCTCGGACAATCCCATCGCACTGGAGGAATCGATCGGAACCATTTCGTGCCCACCTGCGAAGGACCTGATCGTCGCGGCGTCGCCCAGGATCGAGGAGCGAATTCTCGCTCAGTACTAAGAACCCTAATCTGGCAAGAGAATATTCTAGCAAAAGCAATGTGTTTGTAATGGATATTCTAAGGGGTTTATCGAGGGTTTGATCCAAATGCTCTCGAATCAATGTCCAGTGCTCTGCGAAGATCAGCTCCTCGGTGCCTCCATTCTCAGCGGTGAGATTTCCTGGAGAAATTCTCGAATTATTTGGAGCTTGTAGCCACCCCCGCCTTCTTCCTTGCTCCTCCAGCGCCAGAGCTACTGGGAGACACGCGGAGCAACGCTCGATTGGTTCTCGAATTACTCCAGATTCGAGCCGATTTTCCGTTAGCAATCACAAATCTTCCCTTCCCGGATTTTGATGCCTGTGTGTGGGAATTCAGGTACCAAGATCTCAGTGAGCGATGCCATAGAAAAGAATACTAATTCCAGTGATGTAAAACAGCAATGTCTAACGATATGGTGGAAGATGGCTACCAGGAAATCGTCAACACCGATCTATCTTCGGTGGTGATTGACAACTTCAAAGCTAGATATGCTCACGTTCCTCAGCTATCCTGTATCCTTGGGCTTGGTGATGTTACTTCTTTGCACCAGCCATATCTTCCTTGACGAAACTTAAGACGTGGCAATAGATTCACGGGACATGAGTGCGTTTCAAGACAGTTCCTTTGATGCGGTCATTGACAAAGGTAACAAAGTTATAGTTTACTCTCAAGAGTCTCCTCTTACATTTTCTTTCTCTTTGTTTTTCAGGCCTGGCCGACGCCATGCTAGTAAGTGCTTGTGTCACCAAAAACATCCTTGTCTAATGCAATTTGCGTTCCTTCTTTCAGTGTGGAGTTGATCCGGCCGAAGGCGTTCTACACATGCTAAGAGAGACTTATCTCGCTTGCAGGATTTTGAGACCACAAGGAGTGTTTATGCTGGTAGGAAGAAAAAAACACTTCTATAGTTCCTGATCTATAAACATTCTCACTGCAGATCACATACAGCCACCCCGAAATACGAATGCCGGCGTTGCAGGAACCAGGATTGAAATGGTCCATCCTTCTGTACGCCTTGGGTATGTTTTGAGCTCAAAACGGGATAAGCTCACTCTGTGTGTTTTCTTCTCAGCCAAGCAAAGCCGTAATGGAAACTATTGAGGGAGTAACTCCAGATTCACTGCCCATTGACGAGCGCAACTGGTCTCAAGATTTTGGAATATATTTAATTAACTTTACTAGCTAAAAGTATTTATCTAACCACATTTTAATCTAAGATACAACTAATTACCTTTTCCCTCGCTACTATATAACAGCGAAAATGCTTGTGAGGGTTTATCACTTTCCATCCTCTCCAAGAGCGATCAAGCAAGACCAATCGATCATGGGAGTTCCTGGGTTTTTCGCTTGGCTCGTATCCAAGCATCCTCGGTGCGTGAGGGACGCGATTGATGGTGCCAAGAACAATATTCTTCGCTACGACAACGCGAACTTGTACGTGGACCTCAACACCATCATCTGGGTCATCCTGGAAAGCCACGATTGCCCGCCCACCTTCGCCACTTTTTACCAAGAGTTCCTCGACTCGCTCCGCAAGCTCGTCGCCATGGTGGCTCCGACCAAGCTCGTCTTCCTAGCCCTGGATGGAAGGCCTCCCACCCCCAAGCTCTTCAGCAAGCTCTTCAAGAAGCCGTGTCGCTACAATCGCGATGCTTCTCTCTCCTCCTTGTCCTCCTCGGAGGATGAGCTCGATTCCACCAAAGCTCAGAAAGGTGATCTCATCCCACGCAATCGCAAGGCCAAGATGGCGATGGTCCGCCATGGAACGCCTTTCATGAACGGGCTGGAGAGTGAACTGCGACGATTTGTGGCAAGCATGATGCTGTCAAGTTCATATGATCATCGCTGGAGGAGATCAATGACTAGCTCGAGGCTCCAGTGGATCGTTTCCACGTCCGAGGAGGACGGGGAGGGCGAGCTCAAGATCTTCAACCACATACGGGCTCTGCCGTTCAACGCCCACGACTTCCACTGCGTGGTTGGACGCGACGCCGACTTGATCATGCTGGCTCTCGCTAGCCCGCTCTCCAGGAAGATCAACATCGTCCGCCAGACGCCGAAGGACGGAGTGATGATTTACAAGCTCATCAGCATCGAGACGCTCGTGCGTGATTTCGAGGTGCAGATGGAAGAGCCGTGCTCCGTGCGGCTGCGGTCCACCATGAGGGATCTCGTGTTCCTGTGCTTCCTTCTGGGGAACGATTTCCTGCCCGGCCTGGAGGCGCTCACAATCCGAAACAATGGCATCGACAAGCTCCAGCAAACGTACATGGAGGTTTTCAGCGAGGCAGGGGAGTTTATAATCAACTGTGATGGGCATGTCAACATGAGAGCGCTGGAGCGATTTCTATTGCATCTGCCGAGGCAACTAGGGACATCAAAGAAGTTAGAATCTAGTGTTGAGACGAGTATGATAATGTGGTCATCGTATATCAACATTCTAAGGTGGTGCGCAGACTATTATTTCAATGGAGTGGTGTTGGACGAGTCCTACTACTCGTGGGAGAATGCTCCAGCCATGGGAAGATTCATCAACTTCATGGGCACACACTCATGTGGCACGGTAAATTCAAGACCTCTTCTCCCACCAGTTACTGCTACGAGCGTTCTTAACTTAAGACCTCAGTGGTTGAAATCCTGTTAATATCGTATGGAATGACTGTAAATTCTAGTGAGAGCAAAAGGGAAGATCGAACTTAGATCTTTAATACTAATATATGCATTTTAAAATCACAAAGAGTTCCCAGTATGAGTCGGAGGAGCGACCAAGCAATCCAGCCGCCGGCTTCCTGCTATTGCAGAAGCTTATACTTCTCGGCACGGGTCTTGGAGAAGAGTGGTGGCAACCTTGAGGTTCTTGACGGCCTGGATGGTCGTGCCTGGCACCTTGCTCACAAGCCCCAGCAGCACGTCCACCTTCCACCCCTGCTCGATGGTCAGCTCGATGTTTAGCCTGTGGAGCTCCTAATCGACGGCGGCAGCATGAGAATGTGCCATCTCCCACGCTTGGATATGATCCCTGGTCTCGATGGAGCACCGCCGATCGAGTTGAGCGAGACGTTGAGCCGGTCCTGCCTGTAAGTCCGGACGTGTGAGGTAGAAGGCGTTGTGAGGGTCCGTCGTCACCTTTGCCTTGTCGTATCTAGAGTCGAGAGAGTCTGGCACGCCACCAGGAGCGTCGTCCAAGTCCGGTTGAAAAGGCATGGTGTCGATGAGCTCCACGGCCTGGCCGAACAGCCCCGTCCGGCACATGGGATCCGTCAGGCAGTCGTAGTGAGCCAGCGTCGTTCTCACGCCATGATAGTCTTGGATCATGTTGGCGAAGTCAGGTGGATGCCGCTTGATCACTTCCACCATCATCATCCCGTTCTCGCTGAGAGGAGAGTCCCTGCCTTCTTAGCAAGTTTCCGGCGTTTGAAAGCCGGATGATCACAGTAATGATCCACCGCCTCTGGTGCCTTCATCTTGTTTCGAAGCAGCTCAAACCCCGAGTAGAATAGTCCTGTTTACAAGGAAAAGAGTTAGCCGATCACAGAAATCACGAAACAAACTTACTGTCAGGGAGAGTAAGTTCCCAGGGATTGAGAGGCGGATGATCACAGTAATGATCCACCACCGGCGGTGCCTTCCTCTTGTTTCCGAGCAGCTCAAACTCCGGGTAGAATAGCCCTGTTTACAAGGGAAAGAGTTAGCCGATCCCCCGTACAAATCAAGAAACAAACTTACTGTTACAGAGAGTAACTTTGAGGCGATCAAGAGGCGGGTGATCATAGTAAGCCTTCCTCTTGTTTCCAAGCAGCTCCACTCGATCATGGTAGAATAGCCCTGTTAGGAAAAGAGTTAGCCAATCCCTCAGAAATCACGAAAAAACTTACTGTTAGGGAAAGTATGTTTGCGGTAATCGAGAGGGCCGTGATCGTGGTAATGATCCACCGCCAGCGCACCAAACTCCGGGTAGAATAGCCCTGTTTACAAGAAAAAGAGTTAGCCAGAAATCACGAAACCAGACGAGATCATGGGAACCTTGACCCAGCTCGGGCTTCCAGGAGAGCTCCTGTAGCTCCACCACCTTTTCATCGTCACAGCGTCGGATTTGCTGCCGCTCGGGCGGTTTGATGCAAAGCTGTTCGAGGGAGGATTCGTGCTGCGCCAAAAGAGAGCATTAACAGAAAAGGAAAGGAAGGGGAAAACGAGAAAGGAAGACCTTTTCCTGTGCAGCTTCCATTTCCTGAGCCTGCAAGAACGAGGAAAGAAATCTTGAGAAGAAGACCTAAAAAAACTTACCTGGATGAGAGAGTCCAAATCGTCCGGGAGCTCGTCCTTGACATTCCACTCGGTGCATACAAAATCGAGAGCAAAAATTATCTCCACAATCTGTAACATCTCCAGCAACACCATCTTGGAGAGAGAGAGAGAGTGGGAAGTTTAGGGCTTTGGACGATCGAGGCAGGACAGTCTGGTACTCACTGCGCTGGTCGACATGTATGGCGTCTCCGACTCGCTGGATTCCAAGAGGATGGCCTTCTGGACGGCCGTGATCTTCCCACGTGCATAGCACTCTACCTCACTGGTGATGTTGCATCTCCATCGTTTCGCGAAGATGGGAGAACACGCTCAAATCTCTTCCCACCTGCCAAGAACTTGGTGTCGTTGTTCATGGCTGCCTCGCCGTGGCTCCACTTATGCCCAGCGAGGGAACTCCCGTACTTCTCCAGCGTCGGGGCTCCGATACACAGTTTTGTAAATGTTTTAATAATCAAATTATAAAGATGTTTATAGTTTATAAACTTTCAAGTATATTCTATTTAATGTATATAAATTATAACATTCTTAAATACATATTGCATGTTTCATATAAGTTGATTTGTGTTTTGGTATGCCATTGGATACTGCCATTTATGACTGCTTCAGAAAACAGGTTAACACCAAATATTTCTGGCTCTTTGTTTTGCAACTTCAATTTTTGTAAACTCCCTCTCTTTGCATGGGAGGCAATGAAGTGCCACCATGAAAAGAGAGAGAGGGATGGGAGGAAGGGGAGCACGGGAGGCCTCCCATTAAACACCATCCTTCTCCACCTAGCTGGCAATGGTGTGGCATGATTACATAGCATTTCTCTCTATCCGACTCTCTCTCTCTCTCTGGTGCTGCCACACAACATTACTTCCAATCACTTTTAACTTGGACCAAAGCCTCTTTCATAGGACAGAGATGAGAGAAAAGAGGGTCTTGTCCTGGTATTTTCCTAGTCTTTTCCTTTGCATGCAATGCTAACCAGTGTGTAAGTATCTCTCCTTTTGCTTTGCTCGTCTAGATTGGCGGATGTTGGGATACCCTCTTCTCTAAGGGGTTTGAGGTTCTTCTCTGGAATGGAAATGCTAGTCAACCCAAGCAGCAGCAGCAGCAGCAGCAGCTAGATTGGAAGTGGTCTTTTTTTTGCTCTCAAGGGGCAGCAACAATGATCATATGGAGGTTTCTATGAATTTGTGAAGCTCAGTGGTACTATTAGCTTTGGCATTATGGAATATGGGCATGCTCTTCATCTTTGCACAACCTGGAGCTAGTAACTATTGCTACATAGTCTTCTCCTCTTGGATCATCCTTAGTCTTATTTTTCCAACGGATGCCTTGCAAGTTTTCAAGCACACTCTTGGGAATCCACCAGAACTTCACAGGTGGATAGGTGATGATCCTTGCTTAGTTTTGTCGTCATAGAGAGGAATCAAATG